CCAATATATTCATGCTTTTTTATATTCTTGGAGATGAATCCAGTTCAGCATCCATCTGTTTGTGTAATGGCAAATAGAGGGAAAGAGGCAAATATATAATACTGCTTTTATAATAAATTATTCTTAATTCATAATTCTTGCTACAAACAGCAAATAAATAAATTAAATTAAAATACACATAATTCCTGAAAAATTTCATTGAAAATTACAAACTAAATACACATAGTATATTAGATTAAATAAGGAGTGCATCACCAACTTTAAACAAGACTTTCATTTAAGACTGAGGCCAAAATTCTACATAAAAACTGCAGTAAAGCAATATCTTACATACACCGAGGCTAAGGAGGCTAACTTCACACATTTCATGTTTTCATACATATCCCGTGTTAAGTCAAGTAGGGTGTCTATTTTATTTCCAATTTTAAAATAATAGCTATAAAAAGTTAAAAGTTCCATACACTTTGTTAGCGTTTGGTGGCATTGCCTATTAATTTTATCAGTTTAATTAACGCATACTCTTGTGGTAACCTTCCACAAGCTTCTCACAAAATGTGTTTAAGTATGATGTATTTTGAGTGATTACTTTTTTCCTCTGGTGAACAAAACAGACTGTAAAATTTGAGGAACTGTAAAATATTCACTTAAAAATAATGAATTACTGAAATCCTAAACTCTCTCACAGTCTCATATTCATCTATTGATCTCAAACACAAATGTCTTTGGGGTATAGCACAAACACATGAAATCTCTATAATTCAGTGACAGCAAATAAAACTCCAGAAACACTTTTGTGAAATATTTCTTGACTGACTGACACAAAAAAGTTCATTTTCGAATAAAGGCGAATTGCGAGTCCTTACTAAAAAACGTAAGCCATGAATGCGACTGCTACCATACATTTTGTACATTATTTTGAAATTGTCCCACAAATTGTAGATGTAGTTTTTCACAGATTGGTGAACCTCTGCCCACCTTTACTTCTGAAAGACTCTGCCTCTCTAAGATACTCTTTTTATACCCAATCATGTTAATGACCTGTCGCAAATTAATCCCCAGCTGTTTCTCTTTATTAACACTTAATTTTCCAGCCTTTTGTTGCCCCGTCCCAACTTTTTTGAGACGCGTTGTGGCCATCAAATTCAAAATTACCCTATTTGTTTCTTAAAATGGTACATTTCCTCAGTTTAAACATGTGATATGTTTTCTATGTTCTATTGTGAATAACATATGGGTTTATGAGATTTGCAAATCATTGCATTCTGTTGTTATTTACATTTTACACAGCGTTTGGTATTGGGGTTGTATTTGTATCTTGATGTCATCATAGAGACACAAGCGTGGTACGTGACATGATCTCTATTTGACAGATCTCTATTTAAGTACAATAGTTTGTTTAAGAGGTGAGAAATGCATGCTACATGGATGTGCTTGAGTTTGCAATGATGACAGAAGCCTCCGCTTTCTGATGTAATAAAGCTGTCTCTAATCGATTGTTTTAAAATGACCTCTGATGTGAAAAAAATTGATTTGGCCTCTTTGACTGGCCAAAAGAAATGCATGTTATATGAAATGTGTGGAGGTGTATGCAAATATTTGGTTTTGTGTATTGATGAGAACAGTAATATGAGTACTAAGTGCTTTTGGCACAGATAAAATAAAATACCAACAGATTTGGCACAGATTAGATAAAATACCAAGCTGTATGCACTCTGAGTTTTAGATAGAAGCAGTGGTCCAGTTATGGCGTCCCATAAGGGGGTCAAATGTGTGTGCAGAAAGGATTAAAAAGAGCACTCACGAATTTCACTGACAAATTAGTAACATGGACCACACTAGCAGAAAAGGTTCCCAAAACAGGCAGGCCACAATAATGCAACACAAAGCTTTTCTCTGCCTGCTCTATGATTATTCATACAAGACAACCTCAAAAATGCATGCAGTTATTTTTCATCACCGCACATATTAATAGAACCCTTAAACAACATTTTTTTAAAAAGAAACAGATTTATTTTCCTGATCTGTTTTTTTTCCCGATTCTGATTTTTATGCAAAATAATAAAAAGTTACTCATCAGATATTGAAATGAAAACGCCACCCTGAAACACAGTGAATATGTTTCTATTGAAATATTTGTTTTGCGCTTAGTGATTCTGGTGCTAATTTAATGGTCGGTGTTGTGGGGTTTTTTTGTTTATTCCAGTGAGAATCACTGACATCACTGGGTGACACTGCATGAAAATTTCCATCAATCTCAAATGTATGTTATAACAGTCAGGTTTAACAGTTAGCTCCTTAAATAAAAATAAAATAAATAAATAAGCTTTTTTTTTTCCTCCCTTACTCACAATTTTCCAACAATGTTCAACATCATATTAATGAGAAATCACAGAACACAGAAACGCACAAATAGTGGCGCAGCAAACCATATGACGCAGTTGCACTATGTTACTGCAGAAAATCGTCTCGGCAAGGTAATGATCTTTGAGATGAAAACCATGACGGAGCTGATGGAGGTATTGGCATGAACGTTGAAGCTTTGGAAACTGATCCGTTTTCGCAGAGAGTACATATGCTTAGGACAGACTAAAGAACTACACTGCATGGCTGTCTTTAGATAGATATGTAATCCCACTGGTGCCATTATCAGGGGGAAGCGGCACGGCATTGTGGGTAGTGTAGGAATTTACTCAAAATAAATTTTACACAAATGAAAGCTCAAAATGATTCTACAGGAAATCTCCATATTTATATGGAGTCATTCACAGTGGATTTTCCCTTTAAACATGTAGCAAGTCCTATTTAATACTGCAACAATATTGCAAACTGTGGCAAAAGGTTAAGTAATTACTGTAATGCTGTAATGTGAAAATAATATCAGAATGTCCACACTGGACTAATAATGTCACTAATGACTGATTTGGAAAAATAAAATCAATCACTGTGGTCTGACAAGAACGTGGACCAAATCGCTAAAACTAGAAAAATGCGTCTGCTTAATGAATAACTTGTGCAAACAAAATGAGATGTCACATTTAATTGGTTTCCCCACATGACTTAATTCCTGCTCTAAACCCACAGATTAGGCTTTTACAATCGCCAAACATAATTACACATTTTGTTTTCACCAACTCTTCAAAACAAAAGATCATTTAATGGCTCCAAAGAGTTGCTCTTGTGTGACGAAATGCAGCGTAATGAAATGTTAATCAGAGAAAGTAATGAAACATGGAGGCTATTCTCCAGTTCAGGCTATATTTTACAGTAATCTGTTTTATCTAAACCTCTGACAATCAGACAGCGTTCAAATAATCAGTTCCACTCAATTGGACAGAAACAACGTGGACTTTTTAAGTATTTGAGTTCGAATATCTTTGAATTTGCCAAGGTGCACTGGCCTCTTAAAGTGTACGTGAGCACGTAAATGTCAAGTCGACATATATAGCTTGCTGGCTAATCCAAGTGAAACGCCTACGCTCAATTCTCCTTACATGCTACACTACACTGAGGTATTTTTTTTTTTATGCTGTTCAAATAAAGTTCCACGCAAAGCTCTAATATTCACTTTTTAAGAGGTGTTTTACAGAGTGAGCACAATGGGGGTTTGTGTGTGTGGGTGTGTGAGATGTGTATTAGAGCTGTGGCACCGGCTACACGAGCGTGTCCTGCGTCTCGGCACCAGTCGGTCTCGCTGTATGCCAGCTTCTTAATGACAGGCCTTAAAGCACCCACTGCGATAACTCCACACATGACTGGCACAGCCACAAAGTCTACGCTAATGCTAATACAACTTGGCAAAGTATCCAGGTGAGTTTGATGTTGGCTGCCCAATGCTGGCGTATCAAAGGAGGCTTTCTTTACACCAGGGAAGATAATGAGACGGCACAGTTGTGGAAAAAGTAGTACAACCTACAGTGAGATGGAGCCTGGATTGGATAAAGGGCTAATATTTTCAGCCAGTATAAGGCACAGAGGACAAATGAATTGTTTGGTGCAGAGTGGGAGTCAAATCAAACATTCATGCACACACAGAGAAGTTTAGAATGTGTTTAAGGCAATATTTCGGCCAAAAACGCTAACAATTATGGAAAGTCAGAGGTAATCAGTTAGCTTAATCTATTTCTATAATGACAGCTGGCTTTTGCTTGATCCTTTTTGAGGCTTTCTTTAAGGTTTTAGTCAATCTTTAAAAATCAGCCTATAGTACATGGGCATTCAGTTCAATTTGCAAAGGACCAGTGAGATTCTGGATAAAATTCTGGATAAGCAACAAACATGATTGAAAGACAACCTTTATTGATTAGTTCATGCCTATAAATCATTTCAAGTCATTATGTTATGCTTGGTTAGCTTCCATGTGTTGAAATACATTGGGAGCCTGATCTGCCAGCTGACAACCCCTGCTATAGTACAGTATGTCTCGGTAGCACGTGAGATTGCCCTGCTGTCCAATTAAGAAAACATTAACTTGCTAATAACACTCAACATAGGATTATAATAACCTAGTGCTAGCAATTTAAGCTAACTTAAGCTAGTTAACCAACAAGCCAAGGAGACAAAACTAGTAATAATCACTGTACAGGGACTGTCTATTACAAAATGTAAAATGACCAATGAACTAATTAAACATCCATTTATGATAAGAAAAGAAAGTAAAACCACATTTATTTCCTCTGCAGTGCATTGTTTTATCTGTCTGTCATCTTGGTCCTGGCAGGATGTGGTTTTCGAGGAAATCATGATAATGCTAGCTACGCAGGGTCATTGGGAGCCTGGAGTCTATCCCAGGGGACTCAGGTACAAGGATGGGTACACCCTGGACGGGGTGCCAACCCATTGCAGGACACAATCGCGCACATACATATTCACATTCACACACTACGAACAATTTAGAGATGCCAATCAGCCTACAAAGCATGTCGTTGGACTGTGGGAGGAAGCCAGAGTACCCAGAGGAAACCTCTGAAGCATGGGGAGAACATGCAAACGCCACACACACAGGGCAGAGGCAGGAATCGAACCCGCAAACCCGGGGGTATGAGGCAAACGTGCTAATCACTAAGCCACCGTGCCCCCCATAAACCTAGCCAGTTAGGGTTTTCTTTTTATTTTTATTTATCTTTTTTTTTATTTTATTTTTACAAGCACTAAGTGACATTATGATACTTGTGAATCTCACAAAGCTCACAGCTAAAAAGTTCACGTATTTGTGGGATTAAACTTCAGCTACATTCACTCTGATGTAACTGCTATTGTAAGTAAATACATTTTTGCATCCTGCATCTTTTCCCATTGAAATGGAATCTTTCATTAAAACTGGACTGCTTTCTATGTACTGTATAGTACCCATGTAGTACAATGTGGAATCAGACTGTATTGTGAAAACGGGATTACGTTTGTGGTGTGTTTGTGGTACTTTCTGGACTCACCTGTGTCCGAGCTCATGGGCAATAGTGAAGGCCAGGTTGAGGCCGTTGTCCTCGGCTACTACGCATTTCCTCTTGGCGCTGCAGGTGCCACCTAAATAGGCGATACCTGTGTGGGTAAAAACAAAAAATATTCCATTAGAGTGTTGTTATATATTAAAAACACAGACCTGACACTTTTCCAGCTTCATGTGGAATTACAATTTGTCAAACGCTACAGCCGTGACTATTTTCCTTCACTCCCCCTATACTAGCCAGATGTTCCTCTGAGCCTGCTATTCATCCCCAGAATGCAAAGTTCTTAGCATTGATCACCCAAAATGAGCTAATGTCAAGGACATTACCGTGTGTCTATATTAAATTCATTTACACGACTTGATGAGTGGTTTTCAGTACACTGGTCTCTGTATACCTGTGAGATAAGTAACTCTGACCCCATTTATTCACCAATTACACTGGTGTTAATCATCAGTTTAAAGTAATATCAATGTGAGGACAACTTTTTAACATGTATTCATTTGATGAGGCCAATTTTAAGTGATCCTGACTCACCTGAACTGTTGAAATGTTGAAGGCTTATCTACACAACACCATGAGTGGATCTGAATTGAATTTGAAACCTGTGAATTGAAGCTTAACAACCATTGGTCTACAGCAGTGGTCAACAACCCTCTTCCTTGAGATCTACCTTCCTGCAGGTTTCATCTCCAAGCAAAATTCCACACACCTGTTTTAGTTGATCAGGAACTTCTTAAGGCCATGATTAGATGATCAGGTGGATACGATTTTGGTTGAGCTAAAGTCTTCAGGAAGGTAGATCTCAACACAGACCAACAGGGTTGGTCACCAATGCATTACAGTATATTTTCTAAAATCATTCCATTTTTGGGTTAAAAGTCAAACAGGAAGTGATGTACTAACTGTTGTTTATATGTACGGGCTCCTCTAAAATCTGCTCACTAAGCTAAGTTGGTTTTTCTACACAAATGATTTATTTTTAATACAGATGATATAGAAAGGAAGCTACAAAAAAAGAAAAAACATCACAGCTAAAATATAATGTACGGAAAAGGGGAAATGGTTCTAAGTATTTGTGTAGCAAAATTTAGGCACATACAATTTGCATGGTTTTATCTTGCCCACATATTTGAGTGCAAGAGTAGTGAGACTCGAAATCCTTAACAATACATTTCATCGTCTGCCAGAGAAACTCTCTTAGAAATAACCTTTGACCCTTTGAAAAAATATACAGTTAATTCTTAATTTATGACCCTTCCGTTGTTAAGAAACATTCTTTAAGACATTCTGTGTTCCTAGAAACCTAGCATACCTCAGAGCAAAGACATGCTGCTGCATCTCCCACCATCAGCCTGCACAACTCTTTAATAACACTGTCCTAAGCATGATTTAATGGCCAATATATTATCTGTAGCAGTTTCATATGAAGAGGATTATGACAAGACAATGCTGTCTGATATATGAATTGTGTTGCAGTTATACATGCTGGTAATTAAAAATCCACACCGTTTAATACCTGTTACAACTTTATTGAGGTATTGCTTTAAACTATAGTATTTATACCTTCATATTATCGACATCCTGGGGTGCAGGGTCACAATATTTTAAATGATCCTTGATAACAAGATTGTGAATCAGGTATGAAAAATTGCAATAACCTTTGGCCCAATCTTTTATCATATGTGTTCTGTATCATCATAATATTATCATTCTACTACTAACAATGATTTAACTGTCAAAGCAGAAGTTATATGGATGTACCCGTCAAGTACAACACACAGGAAAGGAGGTGTGAGACTCAATGAAAAACTGGTAAAAATACAATATTAATGTAAAGATGTAAAGCTTTTTGCAAGCTCTCTTTAAATGGTGTTGGCGTCACAGTTGGCGAATATAAAGAAAAAAAAATAATAATAATAACGCCAACTTTGCTGTTGTAATATTAAGACATAAATTTGAAATTTGCAATATTCACAAAACATAATTTAAATAAACCTTCTCTCTTAGTAAATAGTTTTAAATTAGTCAATTTAATAAAAAATTTAAATCCCAGCTTCATACCTGCCCTTCAGAAATAATCTGGTCATGTAATCATTGTTCCAAGTCAGTTTTAGCCTTGCTAACTCACACTAAATTGATCTATTTGCATAGACGCTGCATTTTGCACTTTCATTCATTAACGCAAACACGCACAATGGATAAAGTCTAGTTTAAACTGGATGCCTGACTTTGCGTGCATGTGAAGAAGCAGCAGCAATGCGAGCACCATTGTTCACGTGCTCGCTTGCATATGTTATGTACATCTCGAGGATTAAAAGTGACAGCCGCTAGATCTCTGTCAGGTTTCCAAGTGAACTGTAAAATGTTTAGCAATTTCATGCACAGTGATGTTAAACACAATGATGAGTTCTGTTCAAACTTTCCACTGTCGTCGTGATTGTTGTCGTGAGCTGCGGCTCAGATCAAGAAAATCCAAAAGTCTGGTACAGAAAACAGACATTTTGGTGGTTTTGAAGTCTATGTGAGGGATTATTAAAATTTAAACACTAAATATAATAATAAAAAGCAGTACTCAATAACTGTCTAGAACAATACACTAGTAAGTGATTTGAGGCAATGCTAGTTTTTTTTAGTTAGTTGCAAACACTGTTGGTATTGCACCATGCCATCTTGTGTATGCATATGCATAGTATAAAAGCAAGTATAACTCATCCTTAACACATTTCATCCTGCTCACAATCCTCTATACCCAAAGAAGATGCTACTCAACACCAAGATGCATATAGTTCCAGCTCAGCTGAGTCTTTTGTTGAAAGAACATTTCATCTAGTATTGTAACAGAGCACCTCCAACAAAAGTCAGCACCTCCATCAAAAAATAAATAGTTTTATTAGCGCTGACTAGCATTCAATAAACTCATTATTTAGAGTTAGTAACTTGTTTTATTTTGTTTCCTAACGGTGAAAACTAAATTCCAAATTTAAACTCGCCCTTTGGTTGTAATAATTCATGCAGTTGTCGTTCTCATCTCACTTTTAGGCTTGGACGTTCACACTAAATGAATCTATGCATGGACCTGTCTGTATTCTGCACCTTCCTTCATTAAGACAAAATGAATAAGAAGTCTCATTTAGCTCATCTGAATGATGCAATCCTCCATAACTGACGAACATGCTAGTCAACGCCAATATAAATCTCTTCCCAGCTCAGCAGAGACTTTTGTTGAAGGCGCATTTCATCTGGTATTGTAACAGAGTGCCTTCAAAGGAACTCATTAGTTTAAAGCCGCATCAATCATCAAGTTCGCCAACAAAGTGACATCTGAAGGCTGTCGCATCACTGCGTATCTGCTTTTAGGCACCTGGTTTGTGTATCTTACTGGCCTTATCCCAGAATGCCTCTCTTGGCCTGGGACCACCATATATTTAACCAGTGACATTAAAATGAAATCAAACCCAGATGGCTTCATTGAAAGAAGCAACACAACATTTTCATTTGGGATAACCGTGCACACATATCATTTTTTGGGTCTCCATCTGTGAGTGACATAAGCCAGTTTGGACTCGACAGTTCATGCGATGATGGATAGTACTTTATACTGAGAAAAACGAACATTGCTCAGAGGTTGCATGTAAGGATTATTGAGATCAGAGCTATACTGTATCAAGTTGTGTAAGAAGCTGCTACGATTGGACAGTTTAGGTTTTTTTTCACCTTCATGTTTTTTCATGCAATTTCACATCTCCCCTATATATATGTATATAACATCTAAACATCAATCCACCTGAGATGGGATTAAGCACTGAAAAGTTTGGACTAAATTTCCTTAACAGGGAAACAGCACCACATGCTATCACTTAACACATGTGGAAAAAAAAAGGACAACGTCATGAATTATATTCAAATCAAAAGAATCAGTTGAGAGACACACGCTGGTGCTGTGGCCAGATGCAGGGTTCAAATGAATGTGCTTAGAACTCTTTGTCTCATTGCTGTTTAAAAATGTTACTTGAAATGAACCACAAAGCACTGGTTAAAAATTAAAACACTCAAGTTATAGAAACGTCATAAATTATGATGTTTCACACCTATTAATGCTACAATTCCTTCATATTTCAACTTCGCTTAGGTGTGCAATGAAATGCAACAATGCAGCAGCAATGGATCTGAGCATTTGCTGATATTAAATTAGCTTGTTGCATTGAAGACCTAGCTGAAGCACACTAACCAGACACTAGGCAACAAGTTAAGTGCAACTTGACCATAACCCTAATGCTTACAATAGTCTTCTCTATGTCATCGTCATCATTTACAAATTAACGTTAAGCCTACCTGCCATATCACAGCAAACCAGTGAATACATATCCCATCCTGCACTGCGACCTACAAACATGGCCACCATGGACTGCAATTCCCAGAACACTCTCACTCATTCTAATCACGCACACCTGCATCAAATTCTCAGCACTCACAACCACAGTATAAAGAGACTGTTTGAACACAATGACTTTGCAAAGTATTGAGTGTTATCATCATACCAAGCGTTTGTACCCTGTTCCTCATTTTGTTTCATGTTCATTGATCTTGTTTCTTGTTTCTCATTCTCAATTCTTGCCTTGCCTTGTTTAT